ATGTGTGTGAGTGCTGTTCCTCTATCCCCAGGATACCTGTATGTGTGTGAGTGCTGTTCCTCTATCCCCAGCATACCTGAATGTGTGGGAGTGCTGTTCCTACCCTCCAGCATACCTGAATGTGTGTGAGTGCTGTTCCTGTGTCCCCAGTATATCTGTATATGTGTGGGAGTGCTGTTCCTACCCTCCAGCATACCTGAATGTGTGTGAGTGCTGTTCCTGTGTCCCCAGTATATCTGTATATGTGTGGGAGTGCTGTTACTACTCTCCAGCATACCTGAATGTGTGTGAGTGCTGTTCCTCTATCCCCAGGATACCTGTATGTGTGTGAGTGCTGTTCCTCTATCCCCATGATACCTGTATGTGTGTGAGTGCTGTCCCTGTATCCCCAGTATATCTGTATATGTGTGGGAGTGCTGTTCCTACCCCCCAGCATACCTGAATGTGTGTGAGTGCTGTTCCTGTTTCCCCAGTATATCTGTATATGTGTGGGAGTGCTATTCCTACCCCCCAGCAAACCTGAATATGTGTGAGTGCTGTTCCTGTACCCCCAGTATATATGTAGGTGCTGTTACTACCCCCCAGCACACCTGTATTTCTGCGATCATTTGTCATATGTGTTAATGTTCACCACAAAACCTAAACAGAGATAAGTTGTATATGTATTTTCAAGCTGCCTTGAAGGAAATTTATTTTCTGTTTTGTTGCTTGTAGTTCCTCCAAATACTGTGACCAGTCCATCTGTCATCACTGAAATGGAAGGAAGTGAAATTACAGTCACATGTAGTACATCTGGGGTACCCACTCCTCAGCTTAAATGGGACACAAGCAGTATAGCCACTGTACGTCAGGTGAGGTTTGCAGTCTTCCTAGCCGAAATCTAACCCTAACCCTAACCTTAAACATAATTGTATTTCCTGGTTACACTGACAGGGAAATTTTGAATGATACCATTAACTGATATATTTTTGTCTAATTTCGCCAGTACCGTTTATTAGTGGAATACCAGTATGAAAGCTCGATCCGCTGACAGGATTTAATAATGAATTATAAAATTGACGTGGACTGTATAAAACTGCATTGTTGACCAGTAATTTGAGACCTGTTCTGAACAGAGTTGGCATTCGTGACATAAGGGATATCGAACCCCCCCAATAATGAAGAAATATCTAGTGAACTAACAAAATAACTGCTTCATCCTCTATTATTTTGGGGTTGGCAATATAGTCTCTTTGTTTATGAAATTACTTGTTAAGTGCAACTACAAAATTTTTGCATCTTTATTTACCATGAAGGTCACAGTTCCTATTTTGTTTTGGGAAAGCCCATTTTGCACACATTTTCAAATTTTTCTGTGTGTCAAACTAGAACTAATTCTATTTTTAAACGTTACACCAAAATTGAAGCAGTGCTACATAATTTTAGAAAAGAAAATGACAGTTTTCTTTTGGACACTTAATCCTGTTAGCACAATAACTCAAAAAGTATTTGAAAGAACTTTTTCAGTCTGTTTCCATACTCTGTTGCTACCTATTGCTACTGTTTCAGTTTTGGAGCTCAGGTCTTAGATCTATCAGGTATAGATTTTCAGTTGTAGATAGTAATAATAAGATCCATTAAAGATCAAATAGAGTAAATATACTAGTGACATCGAATGAAGTTGTCCTCTTCACAAGGTTGAGGTCTTGTCTAAGTTACTCTTCTTTTTGCTGTCATTAAGCACTGTTTCTTCAATCTTGGTGCAATCTGTATCAGAATTTGACTTGGTCAAAGTCTTCACCCGTACAACATGTCTGCAAAGGTTGTTAAAGATCTGTGAAATACTTTTTGAGTAGCGGTGTAACACTACACAAAAACACTGTTCGGTACATACCTTGGTTTTGAAGTCACGGTTCGGTATGTTTTTGGTACAGCAGGAGTAAAAGAAACATAAATTGCTTGTTTTTTTCTTTATTAAACAGTGGTTTGAATAAAGTATGACTGTCTTTCTTAAATAAAAAGTCTCTGTCAATACAGCTGCAACATACTAATAAAAAACTAAAATTTACTCAAAAGTTAATCACAATAAATATTCTCTCAAATAAATAACAATAAAATTAATATCCATTACGGTGCACATTCAGAAAATGAATGCTACCTGATCTGTACTGTATTCACATTAGCAGATTTCAGATTCATATTAGAATTGTACAAGACAAATATTGTCTCAAAAAAGCACAACAAAATAAATATCCATTATGGTGCAGCATTTAAAAATACCTGCACTGTACTTGTATTCACATTAACAGCTTCCAGCTTCACATTAGGACGTACTGCACATGCATAGTGGTGCAGCTTCATCCGGCCCTTTCCGAATGTCGCTCGGGGGAAACACACAAACACACAAAGGTTTGCATGTGTTGCATTTGTTCGGTACATATGAGTACTGAACTGAAAGACCCGTACTGAAAATTTTCGGTATGAATACGTGTACTGTTACACTCCTATGTTTGAGTTATTTGGCTAACGGGATCAAATGTTTGAAACTGTGTTTTTTTTTTTGGTATCACTGTGCAGTACTGCTTCAGTTTTGAGGGGATCAGTCTCAGAATTTGACCACGTTTAGCATGTCAGGGTCAGCGCCCGTCGGGCCCCATCCTTCACGTGTCCTCCCCTGTTTGGCCAGCAGGTGTTGCTGGCCATCCTGTTCTCCACCCTGTTTCTTGTCCTTCAAGTCCCTAGTGTGTTTCTCCAGCTCCCCAGACTGCTGCATAGCTCATGGGTTGAGTTAGAAGCTGACCCTTAGTTCTGGGTTCGAGGCTGGCCATTGGCCTGCCTTAGCATTTGTTTATTTTTGGGTTTTATTTTATCCTTAACTTTTGGTTTTTCCTTATATCTTTTATGGTTTATCCTGTCTGTGTCTTGTTTTATGTTTGTGTGTTGTTTGGTTCTTAGTTTGTCATGGTGTTGTTAGCTTTTAGTGTTTCATAATACTTGGTGTTTGCTGGAGTTCTCTTATTCTGTGATTAGTTCATTGTAATCCACCCCACCCGTTTCTAGTCAATCTACGTTCCATTTGATTGGTTGAGTTGATTACAAGTTACACTTGTCCTTTTTATTTCTGACCTTTTGTGGTCCTGCTATTTTTATTTTATTTATTTTGTTCCCATTGTTGATTTTGTTTTTCCCAATAAACCCCTGTTGTCTCTTAGATCCACAAGGGCACCATCACCTTTTCTCTGCCTGCACAGTGCCGTGCCATAAGAACAACGTATCTGCAAAGTTTGAAAAGGATTTGTAAAATACTTTTAGAGTTACTGTATTCACCAGGTCGGATGTTCTACAGCTGCCCCTTTCATGCTTTCATGCTTTTCATGCTACATAGCGCTGCTCCTTTATTTTTGCAATTTCGTAATATACCTACCAAACCAGAAATAAAATATCTGTTACGATGATGGCGATTGATTATGATAATAATGACAAAGTGTTATATGTATGAAAAAATAAGTATATCAACTCACTGGAGGTATACAGTATATCTTCTCTCAGATATACACCTGTATATCCTCTGAAATGGTATCATGGTTATGTCTTCTCAGGTTGATAGCTATGCACTCAAGGCTGTCCTAACCCTGAAGGGGCTTTCTGTCTCTGACAATGGCAGACGGGTCATCTGCAGCGCTGAGAACACGGCCGGGGGCAGTGAAGCCTCCGTGCTGCTCAACATTCTGTGTGAGCCCAGCATTGTAGCTTTGTATTCATATGATGCACTTGTTTGGTTGATTATGTTTAGCTGTCTTTCTGTAATTCTATGTTTGACGCAGTTGATACTGTAATTATTGGGCTCTGCCTAAAGAAATATGTGATGCTCTTCTGAACATGTGCTCAGTTGCTCCGAGGATCCTGCAGCTCCTGACTCCTGTGCTGGATCACCACTGGTGCATCCCCTTTAGTGTGGCGGGGAATCCCAAGCCAGAGCTGCAGTGGTATCACCAAGGGAAGCTGGTCCCTGACCAAGACTACATCAAGACGCTGATCCACGACTGGACAGAGAGCGAGTATCACGGCTGTTTGCAGCTAGACAATCCTACACATATTAACAATGGGGATTACACTTTGGTGGCTAAGAACCAGTTTGGCCAGGACCAGAAGACAGTGTCAGCACACTTCATGCACATGCCTGAGATTCTTGGTGAGTATAGAAGGAACTCACATTCTATGTAGGCAAATTTGTGTCTGACATGAATGGGTGTGCACCTTTCATCCCGGTATGAAGACTCTCCACTTTAAGATCCATACTCAAGGTGTATAAATCTGATTTGCTTCCATTTATAATTTATTAGATAACACTTTACTTGACGGGGCACAAAAAATATAATATTACTTATTTATTAATTAACCACAAACTAAGTCTTAGTTACATACTTATCTCAAATTTATCTTTAACAAATTGTGATGCATGTCTTATCTCAAACAGTTACTATATTTGTTACTACATCTGTTAATTATGTAAACCATTATGAACCACTGAAGGAACTACTGAAGGAACAATTAATGAATAACACAAGTGAAATACTGATCTCATATTTGTTCATCGTTAATGAATCATGACACTTCTCAAGTAGCGACTATATTTGTTCATGATTTGTACTTCAGTAATAATGGAGTTATTACTAAGTATTTGTACCCCATTAAGTAACGTGTCACCCTTTATTTTTTATGGTTTATCAGCATGGACTTTTTTCTTGTGCTTACAAAAATTGTACTTTGTAGTAACAAATGTTGATTTTTTTTTCTTTTTATAACAGGTCCTGATTATGAGGGTAAGTATCTTTGTACTGTTTATTAAATAGCATGTTATTCAGGTTTTGATTAAAGCTAAAATTTTGTTTTTGTGACAATCATGTTAAGTTTCAGGATATTGTGAACAAGCTAAAATAAAGCACAAGAGAGTTTCAGTCTGTTGGACATACAAAAACCAAAATATACACAATTTATAGTGTAGAACAGTGTTTCCCAACCAAGTTCTTGGAGACCCTCAGACAGTCAAAATTTTTGCTCCCTCCCAACTCCCAACAGAACTGTACCATGGATTTATTATTATTATTATTATTATTATTATTATTATTATTTATTCAACAGCAATGGTGTCTATATCCTCTCAGGTGGATTTGTGTATATGTTCTCTTAAGAAAAACAATGTGTGCCCCCCTCCCACAATACACATCTTCTCATGATGAAAGTTATGTAACAACAAAAGAAGAATGAGATATTTACATTTTCTGTTTAAGTGTTTGGGCTTATGGATTTATATTTATTAAGTAATTCAAACAGCTTCTATATAATATATTTTTTAATGGTATCAAAAACTAATACTAGTGAACAGAAAGTGTTTGTATTGTTTAATAACTATCAGGAGTATGTGTATTAGAAGCCAGAAAGATGGATATATTATTGAATAGTTTTGCTTCAGAAATTAATCTTGTAATTCAATTTCATTTTTTAAATATCAGATGACTCGGAACCTACTGACAGTGTGGCTGTAAGTATGTGCATAGTATGTACAGTGTGACTGCATATATATAGACAATTTATACAGTGTGGCTGTAAGTATGTGCATAGTATGTACAGTGTGACTGCATATATATAGACAGTTTATACAGTGTGGCTGTAAGTATGTACATTGTATGTACAGTGTGACTGCATATATATAGACAGTTTATACAGTGTGGCTGTAAGTATGTGCATAGTATGTACAGTGTGACTGCATATATAGAGACAGTTTATACAGTGTGGCTGTATGTTGACAGTGTGTGCACTGTGATTGCATGTACACAGACAGTGTGAACAGTGTGGCTGTGAATATGTAGACAGTGTGTATATTTTGACTGTAGCCCATATGTGGACTGTGTGTGCAGTGGGGATGCAAGTATCTAGACAGTGTGCTTCTAGAATTGTTAGAAATAATTCTTCTACACAGACATACAGTTTTTTTCAGTGTGATTGTATTATGTACAGTATATAGACAGTGTATAGTGTAGTTGTAAGTATGTGTACAGTGTGTACAGTGTGACTGCATATATATAGACAGTGTACAGCATGGCTTTAAGTACAGTATGTTGACAGTGTGTACACTGTGACTGCATGTTCTCAGGCAGTGTGTACAGTGTTGTATTATGTTATTTGCATTTTGTGAATTGTTTTTATAGGTGTATGTAGTCGTGGGAGTTGCAGCCGTAGCTTTTACTGGATTCATTCTGTTGTTGGTTCTTCTGAAATTTGGAAGAAACTCAAAATTTGGAATGAAAGGTAAGTCCTGATAAACAGATGGGAATTAAATATTTATTTTATCAGGCTTATCCTGCCACTTACTTGATGGGCCACAGTTGATTTTAGGTGTTTCCTGGTTAATATTGTAGACCTTATGGTTTTGGTTGCTGCAATACAGGGATGGTTGTGCAGAAGGTAGGGCAGTATCTCCGTGTTTGTGTCTGCTGAGGAACATCTCACAGATCTCTTTGGGCTACTCCAGTTTCCTCATGCAATCCAAATGCATGTGAGCTCGATGAATCGATTACTCTATATTTACCAGTAGTGTTTGATTTTCTAAGTGGCCTGCGAAGTGACCAGGGTGTCCAGAGTGTCCCCTGTCTTGTGTCTGCGCCTCTTGGGATCCCTGCAGGCTCAGTGCAGCCCTCTACCAGAGAAGTTGTATGGAAAATTTGTGTGGATGGAGAAGGGATGAAGGACATTCTTCTCACTAAAATCCAAAATGAAAGACCGTTCAAAGTGCTTTGCTGTGCACGTCTGAATGTGTGTGTGTGTCTGTCTCATTGCCTTTCTCTTTTTTCAGCATCATCTTCTGTGATCAGTAATGATGATGACTCTGCCAGCCCCCTTCATCACGTTTCTAATGGCAACACTACTCCGTCAGAGATGGGAAATGACCTGGTCATGATTGGAATGACAAAGATTCCAGTTATTGAGAACCCACAATACTTCAGCGGGTCTAGCAGCTTGCTCCAGTCACACACCTGTGAGTACCAGTGATGCTACAATCTCACGGTAGTGAGTATTGCTGATGGGACAGTTATAATCCTGTGAGTATCATTAATACTACTAATGCTGTTGGAGACTGAATCTGGCTTCTCAAACCAGGGTTTTTCATAGCGGCTCTGCCATCCATTTCCAGTGTTCACAGATGGCCCACAGTGATTTCTCCTCTGTCTATGGAGTGAACACTGTTCTTTTCCTGTTCCACAGTCGTTAAGCACATCAAACGACACAACATCGTACTGAAGAGGGAGCTGGGAGAGGGGGCATTTGGCAAGGTCTTCCTGGCAGAATGTTACAGCTTGTCTCGCGATCAGGAGAAAATGCTGGTGGCTGTTAAGGTACGCGGCCATTGAAGCTTCACTGTGCTTGATGCCTTACAGCCTATGGGCAGGGGAAAGCCAGCACAGTGCTGGCAAATGTAGGCCGACTTCGGCTGAATGAGTCGTTAGCCTCCTGTGAGTCTTCATGTGGACAAAAGGACAGAATAGCGATTTTATTTGTAAACAGCCCAGCGAGGACTGCCTGTACGACCTAATGCTTTCTGAGCTGTCCTGTCTATGGTGTCAGTGAATGCTGCCTGTGCAAGCCAATCCTTTGTAAACTGTCCTGCAGATGCTGAAAGAAGCCAGTGAAGACTGTCGGGCAGACTTTCGGCGGGAAGCAGAGCTTCTGACTAACCTTCAGCATGAACACATCGTGACTTTCTATGGTGTCTGTGTGGAAGGTGACCCTCTCATCATGGTGTTTGAGTATATGAGACATGGGGATCTCAACAGGTTCCTCAGGTTTGTTTACCTGTATATGTACTTATAAACGTGTGTTTAGTGGTATGTCTGCATGCGGTATTGTTTATATCGTGGGTATATAATACCATACCAGTGCATACATTGCCGTAATGCATATACCCTGTTCCAGGGCACATGGTCCTGATGCAGGCCTGATGGCAGATGGACGGCAGGTGGCGCAGGCTGAGCTCAGCCCCTCCCAGATGCTGCACATTGCCCAGCAGATTGCTGCAGGGATGGTGTACTTGGCTTCACAGCACTTTGTGCATCGCGACCTGGCTACACGCAACTGCTTGGTAGGGGAGAACCTTCTCGTGAAGATTGGAGACTTTGGGATGTCCCGGGATGTGTACAGCACTGATTACTATAGGGTGAGCACTAATTGTGATCTAATGAGATTTAGATAAGTGCATCTTTACCAATCAGGTTATCGTGTAAGGTTTTACTAAACGACTGTTGGTTCCTGTAGACTGCACAAATACTATGTTGAACAGTGCATTAAACACGTGCGATTTACATCGCAAGCATTGAGTAGCTTGACCCAGTTTGTAGCAGGGTTTACATTTGTTTTATTGCCAATCAACACAGAACAGAGGTGGATAGTTCAGGTCCAGAAAGTAAAAATCCGGATCAAGATTCAGCCAACAAGTTGAGTTTAAAGAGTCACAGTCACAGAGTACTCAGCTGGTTGGTTGAAACAAAATCTTGGTCTGGATTTTTATTTTCCGCATCTGAACTATCCACCGCTGCACAAAAGTAATATTTTCTGCTGGCCACAGCAACAAAATCCAAGTGATTAAATAGGAACAGAACAAGTTAAGACAGGGATGGGGGACCTGATCCATGGAGGGCCGCTGCGGGTTTTCGGAATGACCTCTCAGTCAGCCAATAACAGAGCGTCCCCAGGACTGGAGCTGAGAACCACTGCTTTATTACTGGCTGACTGAGAGGTCGTCCCAAAAAGCTGCACCCACACTGACCCTCCATGGATCAGGTTCGCCGCCCCTGAGAGGCAGACTAGGCTGCATCGCTGCAGGAGTGATGATGTCTGTGGGAGCTTTTTGCAGGTAGCTGTAAATGTATATAATCTGAAGCTGTTCCTGCGCCAGGTGGGAGGCCACACCATGCTCCCCATACGCTGGATGCCCCCAGAGAGCATCATGTACAGAAGGTTCACCACCGAGAGTGACGTGTGGAGTCTGGGCGTCGTTCTCTGGGAGATCTTCACCTATGGCAAGCAGCCCTGGTACCAGCTGTCTAACAATGAGGTCTGTGACAAATCTATTCATCCTTTCCCTCCTAAGCCTTTTCTGTAGGGCATGCAGAGAACATTTCAAGTAAAAAAAACTACCACAGTTGGAAAATGCATAGCAAGTTAAATTGAGATTTATCCTTGCAGATCCCTGTCAACCAGGGATCTCATTATTAGTTCCATGAGATTTTACCACAGTTGAACTAAAAGGGTGGAATAACTTAAAGGTTTTTAGTCAAGAGAGTACAGTCAGTTCAAAAAGGTATATAAGACCTTTTTTGAGTGATTTCTGATTGTGGTGTGGTTGAGAGTTCCAGAACTTGCAGCTTGTGTTCAGTCATGTTGTCGCTGAAGCAGAAATATTACTGAGGGTTATTGCAGCACTGGGTGACTAAGAGATATACAGGTGATATACAGAGACATACTAAGAGATATACAGGTGGGTAGCCATCCAACCTGATGCAGAATTCTAGGCAACTCAGGAAGTTCAGGCAGTGTGCTGCAAAAAAACCTTCTACAGCACTACTGTGGGATATGTGCTTTGTGGGAGTGTCACTGCCTGGTGTGGCAGCTGCGGCACCGAGGACCACAGAGGATAATCACCAGGATAGAACTGCCCACCCTGCAGGGCATCTGCATCCAGTGACGTAGGTCCAGGACATTAAGTATTATCAGAGACGTCCTCCACCCATGCCAGTCAGGTAGGTGCCTCCAGAGCCTTAGGATCAGGGCTGAGAGCCTGAGGAGAAGCTTCTACCCCCAGGCCAAAAGGATCATTAACACCAGCAATTAAAATAAATTAAAGCAGCAACCTGCACTTTAAGTATTTTTCTCAAATACTGTCTTATAACATTTAATCTGTACTTTTTATATACTTTGGTAACACTTTACTTGAAGGGACACAAATCATGCAGTACGCTATTGCATAAGTATTAATTAACCACAAACTAAGTCTTAGTTACATACTGCTTTCATGTTTGCTCATCATTAATGAATTGTGATGGATCTTTTATCTAGCTACTATATTTGTTCATGATTTGTACTTCAGTAGTAACTCAGTTACTGCTAACTATTTGCTCCGCCTTACTTATTGCACAGCCCGGGGGTAGCAGCAATTTTAGTTCACTGCTGCTGTACCGGTGCATTCATGCATGTAACAAATAATAAATCTTAAATCTTGAAAATACACAAAGACGTCCTGCAGCAGGTAAAGCAGCATGGTTTAAAGCAAAGTAGACAATAATAGGCTTGGGCGGTATCTAATGTTTCTTACCGTCATGCCATTCAGACATTATACCACGGTATTACCTTATACCACCCAAGCCCTGACAAAAGGACAAGGGGACACCCCCCCCCCCCTTATTGACCAGTACATAGTGACCCTTCAAACCAGAAGTCCAGTGGCAACGCTTTTTTCCACTTTATGTATTCTAGGAGTTACAATTACATTTGCATTTCGTGATCTGAGAGTGGATTTCAGATTCTAACCAGAAATGAAAATGTTTAAATCTATCCTAAACAGGAACCGAATGAAGAGGCATGACAATAGCTGTAATATGATCAGATATTTCAATTGTGCTAACAATGCTTGCTTCCATATTTTATGGTGCATGAAGGGTGCAGTTTATAACTGCTGAGGATATGGCCTTCCAGAATGTTCCTGTGATAATGAGCAATGCAAGCATACATTCATTTGTATCTTAAATAATTAAAAATCAATTTTAATCAATATTTCTAAATTGTATTTTAGGGTTAGGAGGTAGAATTAGGTTTGAAACATTGGAAAAACAGCTGATGTCCACTGAAATATAAAACCAAATATAAAAGGGCAAATTTTGGGCTGATTTAACTTCAAACACTCCAAGTTAACCACAGAAAACGACATATATTCTATTTTATGGTTTGATAGGTAGTTTTTATGGGCTCACGGATAAAAACTAATTTAAATTAATTTTTAAATTGTCCCAAGCAAGAGGGTAAGAGAAATGAGAATCCCAGTGCTAGCAGTAATCTCTGCGGGACACCCAAGAGGAAAGAGAGAATTACGATCCCAGTGCTAGCAGTAATCTCTGCGGGACACCCAATAGGAAAGGGAGAATTACGATCCCAGTGCTAGCAGTAATCTCTGCGGGACACCCAATAGGAAAGGGAGAATTA